AAATTAGTGTTTTAGCCAAATAAAGAGAGAAAAAGAGAATAAAATGTCTAGATCTGATTAAAAAGGTTTAGATGTGATTGGAGACTCAACACACAAACAACTCAGAATCTGGAAGGTTATAGTAGACAAATTCAAAGAGTAAACAGAATGAACTAGATGTGAGTAAAATAAACAAACTGATATTATTTACTAAACAGTGGTGCTATGAATTTGGAAATAAAGCCAGGGAATTACTTGCTTGTAGCCTTTATATATACATATATTTTAAAAGTACAGTCAATGCTATAAAATGTAATAGTTTTATAATAACCACACATACAGATTCTATGCTACAGGAGTTTGCTGAATTCTATCAAAATGTATTTTCTTTGCAAAATCAAAATAAAGCCAATATTGATAGGTTTTTGGTGGAAACTAATGTTTATTGTCAGATAAGGATATTTCTCTGGAGCCTTTAGCAATTAAGATTAAAGAATCTGAGAAGATAGCAGGCATTAAATTTGGTTCATATCATTATAAAATTAAGCTTTTTGCGGACAATATTGTATTATTTTTATCTACCTCTAGGCTAGACCAGAAAAGCATTATAGACTCCTTCTCTAAAGTAGCTGGTTACAAATTGAATATAGAAAAGACTGTCGCTCCTTTGGTGAATATGAGTGCTTCTGACCTGCCTCCTCAGAACTGGCTATCTAATATAAATTTAAAATCTAGACTAGTTACCTATTTATGAATTAAAATTGGTAATGGATTTGCAGAACTATGGAAAAACAACTTGAAGGGTGTTATAGCAGACATTATGGATAAATTAGAGCTCTTTGGGAGTCCCTTAACCTGTCTATACTTTAATATGTTAGTGCAATTAATATGATGGTGATCCTGAAGGTGATGTACCTTAATAATCTGCAAGAAAAGTTAAAAATCCTGGCAATGGATGATTAACAAATTTATCTGGCAAAGTAACAGGCCTAGAATAATATGGGAAAATGGAGGCCTAAGTATTCTCAGTGGGCAAATGTATCACGATGTAGCATTAGTATCATGGTCTTCCATATCGGCACTAGCAGACAATGACCCTTCAGCATTTAGAACAAGTGCGTGAAAATGCCATTATAAATATTTCTTTGGATTAAAAAAACCTGAAAGGAAAAAAGTTTACAGTTCAAGTAACTTTATCATAACTCTGTTAGGTTCTTGAGTAGCTACAGAAATCAAGTGTCACCAGAAATTTCACCACTAGTATCTGCTGTATGGGTTCTCAGTCATCTTCAGTATCACCAGTTAGGGGCACTAATTAAATGGGAGAAATCAAATTTGGATAGGTATGCATTACTAGTGGATAATAACAGGGTGGTTACATTTCAACAGATCTCCATAACAAGTAACGGTCAAATGCAAATATTTGAATTTCTACAAATACAACATTATTTGTACAAGTTAATTACAAGGTATAATATATTGAGAAAATTTACTGAATTTGATAAATTACTGACACAGGACAGCAAACATCTCTTATCTAGAATATGTAGCATACTGATTAGAACCAGTGTGAGCTTTAATCCTACTTTTCAGTACAGATGAACAAAGGCTCTAGGCTATGCAATGTCAAACAAAGTCAGGAAATATATCTTCTCACATGCTGTAATTTTTCAGTGTGCTTGGTACTGAAAGAGCATATCATGAAAATGATGCATCAGTGCCATCTTATCCCTCCTTTATTAGCCAAATCGGGTACAGGTCAGTGCTAGTATTGCAAAAATCTAATGCTGACTTTATGCACATCTGGAGGTGGTGTCCATGTACAATGAAGTTTTAGGGTAAAAAAATGAAAATTGTAAAAGTTGGGCTTAAAATAGACTTTCGATTAAAATCAGAGGTAATATTACTTAATTTTATGTCAATAGTGGCAAGAAAATTTCAGGTAATTCTCTTAAATGTAATCATTGCAATCTGTTTGGGTTTTGCAAGATTTTGGAAGCAACCTGCTTATTCAAATACGCAACTATAGGCAGGGAAATTAAAAGAGTTGTCAGCAATGATTAACTTGTTTTTAATGTGGTAAGAATATTAAAGTTATTGAGGTATTATGCTATTAATTAATTAGATAAAGGTAAAGGTAAATTGCTCGAAAGCCAATTGAATCCGACTCTAGGGTTGCGGTGCTGATCTCCGTTCTCAAGCCAAAGAGCCAGTGCTGTCCAAAGACGTTTCTGTGGTCATGTGGCCGGCATGACTAAACGCCATGGTGCACGGAACGCTGTTTCCTTCCCACTGAAGTGGCACCTATTTATCTACTTGCAATTTCTTGCTTTTGAACTGCTAGTTTGGCAGGAGCTGGAACTAGAGATGGGAGCTCACTCCATCATGTGGCACTCGGGTCTCGAACTGCTGAACTACCGACCTTCCAGCCTGCAGTTCAGTGTCTTAACCACTTGAACCACCGCAGCTCCTCAATTACTTAGATACCTAGATACAAAGCTGTAACTTTAAAAAAGCTTCCCTCCCTCATCCTTGTTTTTTCTGTTAAAAGAAAAACATATATGTGTGATTTATGATATAATTTTTAAAAAGGAAACGCCTCTCAACATTTCCTGTACTATTTATTATTGGGAAGGGAAGGGAAACTTTTGATCTCTTAGGTAGTTTTAATTGTTGCTGGCATCTGAGGGCTTCATTGCTTTAGCTAGTAACCCTACAGAGGGGGTGGTCACATGCGTGAGATAAAGGGGGGGGAAGCAAGGCTATTTCCTTCAGAGGAATTTGACCCGCAGTTGCGCGATCACACAGTCCTTGGAAGCTGCGGGCACAGCCTGCCACTGTGTGATTAGACGCAACCGCGGGTGAGTCGGGTTTTTTTTTGCTGTTTGTTTCCGATGTGCTTAAAAGAGGAATTGATTAATCGCATCTCCGCACTGAGGGGCTCCCTATGGAGTTTGCGATGATGCGCATACTGAGAAGGGGGGAAGAACAATAGCACAGGAAACTCTGTCCATGGCCCATCACAACCCGTTTACTACCGGATTTTCCCCGGTGTCTTTTTACTCTGCTCCTGTGGCGGAGCAAATCAGGTTGCTGATGGGTGTGGGGCACTTCCCAGATGTTCGTGTCTGATTGCGCCCTTTAAATCCACCTGGCATTCACATCTATGGTGGGTCTAATTGAGCGTGTGATCGCGCCCTGAGGGTTTTTTTTTTTTACTGCTGGGAGGGGATGTGACGTGCTTGAGCTTTCTGTGACCTGCCAGGTGCCTTTGGTGCTCCTTCTTTCCAGTTTATTGATGAGTATGTACTACAACACATATTTTAAACATATTTATCAGCCACCTTTCTACCTCAAGGCACCTTACAATATTAATAAAAACATAAAATAGATTACATGATTACATTAAAACACAGATTACATAAAAAAGACATACAACCAAAATTTAAAATCCCAATATAGGACTGCTTTAATCAAATGCAGCCCTAAATAAAACTGTCTTCAGTTACCTTCTAAAGATCAAAAGTGAGGGGGCCAGGGGCATCTCCCAGGGGAGGTTTTTCCCAGTGGGGCTGCCACACTGAAATGACTTACTCTCATGTACCCACCACATGAGCTTCTTTGATTGATGGGACAGTCAGGAGGGCCTCTCCTTGTAATTTGACAGTCCTCAGCTAAGACCTACATCCCTTGCTTTTGATACTTCACATATGATTATTGCTAAGTTTATTGATTCACATCTTAACAGTCAGTGTCTAAAACACACAAATACTTGCTTGGCCTTAGACTGAGTTTTAGCTGCTGTTCATAACTTCCCTTGATGAATTTCATTTGGTAAATCCATTTGGTAGGGTTCCATGCTTTGATAGATAATTCATTGATATTAAATCACTACTGATGAGCTAAAAATGTTGCTTGTCTATTGAATTTAGAGCAATCCATCTGTAAAAGGAAGCTCGTGCAATGTCCTTGATGCTTAAAATGCTGCTTTAGAAGATTTTCTAAGCAACAAATGTCACATACATACACACACATATATACATATATATAAAACAAAATTTTATATTTTACGTAGATATTATTTTATATTTATATTTTATATATTATATGAAAAGCCATTTTCATGTAATACATTCAAAATATATTACTGTGTAGTTCTGTTTCTTTTAAGTAGTATATTGGTAAATTGTTTAAAAGCAAGTAATGTAGTAAAATGTCTTTAATGTCACAGGCCTAATATCTGAATGTAGTGTAAGCAATCAGCAGTCTATCCAAGAGCACAGAAGTGGCCCCAACTAATTTATATCAGTGGTGCTGCTCTGGAATCAGTGGGCCATACACTGAGTCCCTGGCAATAAGCAGTTGTAAAAATTACTGTCATTATACAAGAGAAGTAGAGGAAACCATGTTGATACTGGGTTTGGAAAGTATTTGTATAGTATAATACATACAATATGAGCCTGAAATAAACAGAGAGGACCACATGGTGTCACTGTCACTCCAGAAAACTTAACTGGAATGATTGCATGTTGGTACTATTATAATGGGCTCTCTGTGTATGTGACATGTATCTACTTGAAATTAAAACTTTTAGAATAGTGGTATAAAATAATACATGCACCAGGTGGACAAATACAGGACCATCTTTTGTTGAAAAAACTATATCTCGCCTGCCTCTTGTAGAGCTGTCCCTAAATGTTCAGAGCATATTTTGGAATAAACAGTGTTGTGGCCAGGAACCAAGGAACTACTTTGAAGAGTAGACCTTCATGCTTTAACAGAACTTGCTTTGGGAATTCTGCTAGTGTCAAAAGCCAGGCCCATGGTGCTTTCTGTTTTTGAAATCGAAGCCCAAATCCATCTTGGATATGTGCAAGTAGTTGCATCTTTCTGAATTCTGTATTATACTTCGTTGGCAAATCCAAAGTTCAAACTCAAATTCTTAAAAAAAACCTTTGCATTTGGGGAGTATTCCTAATTGGAAACTGTAAGGGATAATTTGCTTTTCCTATTTTGTGTAGATTTTTAGAGCAAGGGATCTGCCGGTATGGTGCACAGTGTACCTCAGCACATTCCCAGGAAGAGCTAACAGAATGGCAGAAACGATATGCTTGCCGGTTGATAAGATTAAAACAGCAAAAGGAAAATGAACAGTGTTTGGGAAGTTACATGGAATCCTTGATTGAAAAATGGATGAATTCGTTATCTCCCGAGAAAGTGGTAAGCAAAACCATAGAATTTTAGATTTAACAGAAGAGCCTGTCTTTTGGAGCTATCTGCTAAACCTGATTGAATGATCTAACTCTCAAAGTACCATTGAAAATTTTAACATTATGTTTCTTTTTGGAAATAACACTGCTAAACAATCCTGATCTTTGTTTATACAGTTGGGAACTTTAAAATTTTATTGAAGAGATGGAGATTTTACCTCGGTATTGAGTCCCTACTCAGTAATGTACCAGATGTACCAGATAACTTAAGATCTAAAAAGATATACCTTCTTCTATAATGGGATAGGAGTGTATTGATACAATGAATACTTGATGGAAAGTAAAAATATTGCTCCTGCCAAGATCATTTTGGTCAGCATTTTCAGGTTTTTGCACTTGCCATCCATCCAGTCTCCCATCTTAATGTTCATGAGTACTTACAAGTACCTACTGGGTACTCTTAATGTTCATGAGTACCTACTACTGGTGAACTCTCTAGATTCAGATGAGCACATAGTAAATAAGATGTGACCAGCTCGACTTACTAATGACACACAGGGAGTTTTCAGTCCAGTTGTTGCTGAGTCAATTTAATATGCTGAGAAAGAAAAGGGACATGGAAATTGTTGACTGAAATGACAGATCAATAGAAACCTGGAACATGTATTCCTGATGATGATTTAATCAGAAGTGTTGGGATTTCTCATAATGATTTTTTTATCCTAACAGAGATTTTAAAAATTATAATAATTCATTCTGTTGAGACTATCTTTAACAGTTGAAGGACCAGTCATATGTTTCACATTGTACATACTACCTCTTTACTCTTTAGCAAACGACTTGTTTTTTGGTGCTCATACCACTACTCGCTGAGTTTGTCTAGGTGCATGGTAGGAAAACGTCTGTGTCCTTATAAAGCAACAAATTATATCTCTTTGGTATTTGCTGTAGTGCAGGTTGCCATGGATGTAAGACACTCCCTTCACCATGGACAAGACAATGGGGCCGTTATATTTATTGTTTTAACCAGATAGTAAAGGTCCCAACCCAGAGGCCCCTGTAGTGTTGCAGAGGTCTCTGAGCTATCTCCCATTTCCTGTAGTGGAGTGGCTAAAGAGGAAGAAAAGTACAGTTCTCTCACTCTTTTAAGCTTCTATGGTCCTGGAAGGACTGAAAGATGCTCAAGAGGTACTAACTCCTGTTCTGCAGTTGTGTCCAGGTTCATTGATGAGAGTAGTGCCCAGAGATGTCAGTGTATCACAGGGGCTGTATGGCACTTTCCCATTTCTTGGTTGGGGAAGTGCTGTGGGGAAGGAGTTGGCAGAGTTTGGCTCTCTTGTGCAAGAGTTGCACTCTACTTCCTCTAGATGACTCTCTCAATGAGAGACATTGCAAGGCCCTCTACTAAGATCTCCTACTTTTGATGGGTGTGGATAGCCCCCCCTCTAGTTAGAGGTGGACGTTCTGCTGGTAAACTCAATGTATGACCAACTGTGCTGGCCCAGAATTCAACAATGCATGTAGATATATTTTTGAAAATAGTGAGCTTTTTATAGTGATTCAACAGGGATGAAGCTAGTATAAGATAATGATGTAGGCAATGTTGTTTCAGATTCATGCTATTGAAAACTCTCCCTGATATGTGTTGTGTGTGTGTGTGAGAATATAAGCAGAGCAATACAAATTATGATTGAATTGGTTCTCTAGTGAACCATGTAGTTGATTTAATTAAAATAGGCATTAGCCAATATTTTTGCAGTTGTTAAATGGTTTTTATTATAGAAAATTTAAAGGTATGCTTTCAACCCAGTTATTTATATCTTGGGGAATTTCTAATGTTAACTTTTTTTCTCTAGCTTAGTGAATGCCTTGATGGAGTAAGAGTTGAACATAATCCTGAACTGTCAGTTACTGTCACCACCAAAAAATCACAACAGACATGGACATTTGCTCTCACGTGTAAGGTAAAGATCCTGATTCTTTTTATTTTGTAATATTATAGTATTTCAGGAACTATGTAATCACAGATTTTGACTTTTATATTTTCAGCTGTTTCTCTTTTTAAAATTTGAGTACTTTATGCAAAAATCAGAAAATTCAGTGAGCAGACCATCCATGTCCATATTTGTTGACTGGTGTGAGCTATGAAAAGTGTATGCTACTTGCAAAATCCTATCTTTTGTCTTGGACTTTGAATTTATTTATCAGTTGTTTTGTTTTGTTTTTGCTGAAGACAGAGACAGGACTAAGAAGGAAAACTAGGATTTTGGAATGCTGGGTTACTGTAGAAGAGTAGGAAAGAGGATGGAGACCTGACATAGACTACTTCCCTAGAGAGTGAACTAGGAAGTTTCATGTTCAGATCCACTTCAGTCATAAACTTACTTATGTGCCCTGCATTAGCGAGTATCTCAGCATTTGACGTGTCATCTTTATAATGGGTTTAATAATACTGTTCCATATTACAGGTTGGTTGTAAAGATTATTACATTTATGAGAGAACTTTGAACGTTCTAAATTTCTGTATATTATTATTATTATTCTGTATGTTATTATTAAATACAGAAATGGTGCTACACCCTCTCCAGCTGCTAGAAGCCAAACCTCGTCTCACTTTAGTAGCAAATCCTTGCACAATTTCATTTGTCTCTGAACAAAGAGGAGTGCTGGAAACCTTTGTATTTTAAAATTTAAGCATTGGAGTTTTGTGGAGTCAGAGTGATCATGTTCTATGATAGGACATTCATATCCTTTCATTTGCGGTATAAAGTTCATGTAATAGTTTAGATTTACAGAAATAAAAAAAATTCTTATTATTCACTTTGCTTTCTTTCTCCATAGCCTGCAAGAATGTTGTATCGAGTGGCACTGCTCTATGATGCCCATCGTCCTCATTTCAGTATCACGACAATATCTTCTGGAGATAGCACCACCCAGGTATCACAAGATGTCCCAGACAACTGCCAGGAATGGATCGGACGAAAGATGACCCAGAATGGAATAGATCATTCTGTGTACAAAATCAGTATAGCCTTTAGCACAGAAATCTTTGGAACATTTCGGCAAACTGTAGTATTTGATTTTGGGACTGAACCTGTTTTGATGCAACGAGTGATGATTGATGCTGCTTCAACAGAAGGTATTCTTCGTCTGTTTTTGTTAACAAACTTGTTTCCTGCATAAGTCTGTGTTATATAAATCGGAAGAAAGATGACCCAGAATGGAATAGATCATTCTGTGTACAAAATCAGTATAGCCTTTAGCACAGAAATCTTTGGAACATTTCGGCAAACTGTAGTATTTGATTTTGGGACTGAACCTGTTTTGATGCAACGAGTGATGATTGATGCTGCTTCAACAGAAGGTATTCTTCGTCTGTTTTTGTTAACAAACTTGTTTCCTGCATAAGTCTGTGTTATATAAATTACTTGTTATCAACCAGGGAGGACAGCCAATAATGGTTATTGGGGGGTACACCAAACAAAACAAAAAACCCTTCACCCATTGACAGAAGACAATGATAGAGGGAGGTAGACGAATTTCCCTAGGGCGGGCGTTCCAGCATTTTGGTGCCACAACTGAGTCTCATGTAAGTCCCTTTCTCAAGTTGCCATTCATCCACACTCAGCTGAGAGAGGCAGCTGAAGCAGGGCCTCCAAAGATGACCAGAATGGATGGGTAGGTTCATATGAGAGAAGGTTGTCCTTCATGTATGATAGTTCCAAGCCATATTGGGCATTTAAGGTCGATACCAGCACTTTGAGTTGAGTCCAGAAGCAGATTGGGAGCTAGTGTAGATGGAACAAGACTGGAGTGATATGGTCCGTATGATCCACTCCAGTTAACATTCTTGCTGCAGCATTCTGTACCAGTTGTAGGTTCTGGACAGTCTTCAGGGGCAGCTGTACGTAATCCAATCTACCAGGGCATGCTCCACAGTGGCAGGATCTTTCCTACCCAAGTAGGGCCACAGCTGGCTCACCAGCCAAAACTGGTGAAAGCCCCCCCCCCCCGGCCACTGTTGCCACCTCTTTATCCAACAGTCCCAGGTCCAGGAATACCCCCAAGCTATGAACCCGTTCTTTAGGAGAGTGCAATCTCCCTAACCCTTCCAGGACAGGAGGATTAAACCAGAAGGTCTGTGTTCATACATCACATGAGACCATTGTTAAGATTAACGGGTTAATAAACCAACATCAAATACTTTCGATCCTGGGCTGAGGATCTATAACTAAGTAATTAGTTGGTTGTCCGATATTCAGTTATATTAACCATATTTACTTTAATGAAACCATGGTTTTGCATAATGTCTGAATTAAGCCCTGATGTATATGACTGAGTACAGAGTGAAAGAAGATGCTTGCGTCTCAGTCTTATTCAATTTATTTTCTCTCAGAAGTAAGCCCCATTGACTTCAGCGGGCTTCACTTTCAACTGCATAGCAGAAGATACTTTTCACAGCTGTACTGGGTGCCTAGTCACTAGGGTATGATTTTACCTGGCACTGTGCCCTCAGTCTTGCAGAGTGAATTGCTGAATTTTTCTGATAGGGCTTCTGTTCAGTTTTATTTCTGTGCAAGTTATTAACCATAGCAGAATACCTTAAGAATTCATATTTTACAAATTACAGTGGCAAAAATTAAACTACCCCAAATTAGTTAACTTCAGAACTTGGATCCAGGGCAGTATTTGTACAGGTGGTGTGTGATTCTGTCTTTCCACTGCAGATTTCTGACCTTGCTTACACTGTTTGTTGGGGTCCCCAGCAATGTTCCCTCTAAGCTGTGGAGTCTTGTGAGCAAAAATTCTACTTTGTGAGCTACTGACATTAAAGTTGTGAGCCAGTGATTTGGCTACTGCAGAAATTAGTTTGCTCTGGAGCCATCCTTCCTGAGCTGAGACAAAAATGTATGAGCCGGAGGCTAAAAAACGGTGAGCTAGCTCACACTAACTCAGCTTAGAGGAAACACTGGTCCCCAGTCCCCTTCAGCAGCATTTTTGGGGACCTTTTTGAGATGCAGTGGGAATGGTAAAGTTGAGGAAGTCATACTCTGTGGAAGGCAGTCATTTATTTCTGCAGAAATTACTGGTGGATTGAAGCCATAGTGAAAGTTAGCAGCATGAGATTTGACAAAGTATGGGATTTAATCAGTCCTTTGAAAGACTTACCAGATTGCTTTACTCTTTAGCACCAAGAAGACAGAGCATCACTTGCCCCAGAGCCCCTATCTATACCTTGTGGCTAATAGCCACTGATGGACCTCTGCTCCATATGCCTATCTAATTCCCTTTTGAAGCTGTCCATGCTTGTAGCCACCACCACTTCCTGTGGCAGTGAATTCCATGTGTTAATCACTCTTTGGGTGAAGAAGTACTTCCTTTTATCCGTTCTAACCCGACTGCTCAGCAATTTCATGGAGTGCCCACGAGTTCTTGTATTGTGAGAAAGGGAGAAAAGTACCTCTTTCTCTACCTGCTCTTTCCCATGCATAATCTTGTAAACCTCAATCATAAAATTGCATTTATAATCTGCAGAATGCCCAGAGTGGTGTGATTACACTTGGTGGGGTTTTATTATCCCTGAATTACCAGTAAAACAGGGTAATAATGAGAGAAGGGAGGATATGTGATGCCTCTTTTTCCAAGCTGTGCTCTGAACAGAAAGAACAGTTACATCAGCTGAAAATGCCAATAAGTTAAATTCAATCATGCCTAAATGTGTGACAGAAAAAAAGATTGTTTTCATTTATTGTTAAAAGTCTGTCGTTGCAGTCTTCTTTTGCATGGCATCTCCTAGAAAAAGCCCTCATATATGGGCCAGACTATAAAGTACCTCCCACCATAAAAGTGTCCTTGGGATGTGTGCACATGTAAAGGTTTGAAATTTTCCTTTGCCACAAACCCCCCCCCCCCCCCCCCTTCTTTTTCAGGGAGCAAAGAGATTTTCCTGCACATTTGTAAAAGCAATTGGAAGGAGGGTAGTTTCAAGGGGAAACTGGCAAGTGGGGAAAAGCTAAGACAGCTCCTGCTGTTGCTGCTTCCCCGTTGTAGATTGCCTCTCCTGAGTGGTGTTTGCAGCGGAGAAGCTGCCACTGAGCTAATCTTGCACACAGATGTGTTGCAGTGTGCCCCTTGTCATTGCTATTCTGACAGTAGATAAAGTGCACTTGGCAAGGCCTCTTGAGAAGATGTTACAAAGTGGGAAAGTTCATAAACAAGTACGCATACTATAAGATATGTAGGCCCAAAGCTATTTAGTTTTTCTGCTGCTTAAGAGTCTAGTTCAAACCTTTCTATTGGAAAGCAGTAAAAATGATTGTACCGTTAGTCTGAAATAATTTGATAGAAGAGAAGGTAGGAACAAAGAAGCTAAAGAAGCATGTTTTGATCATTTATTTTTGCCAGGTATCTAATATAGTTTTTGACAACCCACTGTCTAAGTGGGAGAATCTTTTGTGGCATAACTCAGTCTTCTGTGATATATGAGGGTCAAGCTAACAAAATAAATTATTACAAAAATACAAATATTATGGTGTACACATTAGTAAAAGATAAAATAGGTTAAAAGAAATTATCCAAATATCAGACTCTTAAAACTTCTTACACACAGAGCTGAAAGTCTAACATATACAATTGATGGGTATATCTTATGACCAGTAGACCATATGCGTTTCAGCCCCCTTTGGGCCTTCCTCAATGGTCATTATTACTATTGTAAAACAACACACATCCAGAAATAAATATATGAGCAAAGATTTTCTTTAGGTGTTGCTTTCTAGAATTGTCAAAAGTGAGAGGAAAAAAAGCCAAATTATTACATATCAATTGCACGTAATAAATGCACATAATAGAAATTTTTAAAATGCCAGAATTTTTTTGCTGTTGTTATTTCATATGCAATTGCTAAAAGTTTACATACTGGCCATGGATAATCTCTCATGGTAACCGCATATGCTCTCCAAATTGTTCTACATTAAAGTGGAAATTATATAATTGTTAGAATTTATTAACAGTATGACTGTACAAATAATTTTTAGCCATAGAGTATTTAAATTAGCCAACCAAACTGGTAACAAATATCCAATGTGTGTCTCTTTTGATGTAGCGGTTAAGTGTGTGGACTCTAATCTGGAAGTACCAGGTTTGATTCCCCATGCCTCCATTTGCAGCTGCTGGATGACCTTGGTCAAGCCATAGTTCCATCAGAGCTGTCCTTGAAAGGGCAGTTCTTGAAAGAGCTCTCTCAGCCCCACCTACCTCATAAGGTATCTGTTGTGGGGCAGGGAAGGGAAAGGAGTTTGTAAGCTGCTCTGAGACTCTGAGTGAAGGGCGGGGCATAAATGCAATCTCCTCCTCCTCCTTCCATCAAAGGTAGTAATAACTCAGTCTTCACCTTCAGTCTTCTTTGCAGTCCTACATTGGGACTGCACATACACATGTATTTACCAAGTGCATGGTTGGCTGCTTGGAAGATTTACAACTCCTAGATAACTAGAGGGGGCACCCATCCCTTTGGAGCATGTGTACGCCAAAGTTTTCCCATTCGCCTATCCAAATGGCCATGTGCTCCAAGGGGAAGAGCTCCTTTCCTTCAGTTTGTTCTTAGTCACCGTGTTCTGAAGAGTGTGTTTCTTCAACTCTGCAAGTTCATTAGGTGAAGATGTCCTTTGTGAAATGTTTTAGCACCTTGCCTTTGAGACAGTATCAGACATACCTCAGAGGATGTTCTTTTTAAAATGTTCCTGTTGCAGGACAAAAATGGCAAGAACTGATGAATGCTGATTATGTCTGATTTGCCTTGGTGAGGGTCATAATGTTGGGACATGTAAATATTGTCAACAATTTACCCCCAAGGCTTGTAGTTATTGGGTGTCCAGATTAAAAATAACTCTTTGGGAAAGAGCCTTATCTGCTGCTGAAAGCCTGGCAGCAAAAATATCTGCTATGGCAGAACACCTAGAGATCCAAGTGGCAAATTGCCTCTGCTTTGGTCGAGCTTCAGTCCCAACCACCCTCTGTGGCCCTGGTTCCACCAGTTCCAAGGCTGGATCTGGTCCAACAGCTGTCTCATTAACCTGATATTGTGCCTCCCAGGTGCTCATCAGACCCACCTGCTAAAGAGGCCAAGGCCAAGACGAA